GAGGAGAGATTCTGTAACAATGTAAAATATGTGTAAAATATGTATTTACTTAGATTGCTGCTGCATAATTTGAAATGGTGTGATTGCATTTGTTGTGGTATGGATCTAATGCTTTCTGTAAGTTAAAATTATGTCATTGTCTCAAAATGTAGTTGTAGCACATTATTAAACTAGTAATGTCAGTTAAATGGAGAAAATCACAAATATAACAAATCAAAATATTTGATGTGTAAAGATGAGATGTAAAGAGCTGATTAATGATCTAACCCTTATAAAATTAGAATAATCTCAATATAAATATTTCCAAAATAAATATATGATTTTGAAATGTGTATTTATTTCATTCACAAATGCAAAACATGATTGATAAAATCCAGGTGTGTTCACAAATGTTTGAATACTTTTACATTTACAAATTGATTGATGCTTTTGCAAATCATCATATATTTGGACTGCTTTGGATTTGTGTGTAGATGCTGTTTTAGTGTAGATGCTGATTCTGTTTCCATATATATACCTTTGTCACGATACACACAAACAGGAAACGTAAGATCCAATAGCAGTGTTTATTTAAAGGGTAATCCGTACTCACAACCAGTCCAAGCAAGGTCAAAATCCAAAAAGGCAGTCCAAAAACATAAAAGACAAACACTAGAAATAGGCTCGAAACAACAACGGAAGTGTGGGGGCAATATACAAGGACTCTGTGACAAACACTGAACCAGACAGGGTGTATATACACAAGTGCTAACAGGGTGATGAGAAACAGCAGTAAGGCAATGAACAATCAGTGACAGGCAGGATCATGGTAATTGTAGTGAGAATGCACAGACACAGTGAAAACTGAGGACCTCTAGTGTTTAACCCAGGAAACAACCAAACTCTGTGACATAACCCCCCCTCTACAGAGCGGCTACCAGATGCTCCAAGACAACACAAAAACAAGAATTCAGACGGGAGGTGAAACAGTGGAGATTTGGGGAGGGATGGGGGGCCAGGTCCATGAAGGGAAACAGGAACTTATTGGTGATAGCTTAGCTGGCAGCCAGGGCAAAACAGACAGTCCATAGGGCAGCCAGGACTGAGACGACCCCTCGTGCGGCCAGGGCAGAGATTACAGTCCAAATGGCGAACAGGGTGGAGACTTATCCTCGGGTGGCCAGAGTGAAGATGACAGTCAATCGAGTGGCTACGGCGAAGACACTTCAGGCAGCCACGGCGGTGAAGACACCACGGCGGTGAAGACCCTTCGGGTGGCCACAGCGAAGGAACAGGCACCAACACCGGCTCAGGCACATGAATAGACACTGGCACAGGAACAGACACCGGCTCAGGAACAGCAGACACTGGCTCAGGAACAGACACCAGCCCAGGAACAGCAGACACTGGCTCCGGCACAGGAACAGCAGACACTGGCTCCGGCACAGGAACAGCAGACACTGGCTCCGGCTCAGGAACAGCAGACACTTAGCCTAGAAATCTAGACGCACCCTAGCGGCAGCAAAAATTATTTTGCAGCAAAGTGTGGTCTAGCAACTCTCCATAGACGTTTGAGCTGGAAAACCCCAACCCTGGTAGGGCCAATCACATCGTGTATAGAGTCGGAGGGCGGGCTTAACATAATGATGTCAGAGTTGCGACGGTCAGAGCAAGCTCGGACTCGGTTTGCAGTCGTTCATCATCGGATGCGGCCGGCGCCGCTCGCGCTGTTACAAAGAAGCTGTGGCGAAATGATCAACTTGTCATATTTGCCGCACTCGTGCTGTCACGTTGAGTATAAAGGCTTTACTCCGTGTCAGCGCGCGCTCTAATCGGTATAGGTGCACGGACCTCTCCCGAATCATCTCCACCACCCCGAAGCACCACTACTCCGGCTCCGTTTCCCTCGTAAGCTGATATTAGTATTTAAACATTCTCTATGATATTATTTTTTTTAATGACACACTGCCTCTTTCTCTCTCATACATATGTTGGCTAGTTATAAACTCTTAGACTTTTAATGATTAGTGTTTTATTTTATTAAAGTTTGTGGGTCGTGTAAAAAAAATCCCTTATTTTGGGGATGGATTCCGGGAAATCTCCCTTATTTTCAATTTTCAATGTTGACAGCTGGACTCGATACGATAAAAGTTTAATATATCAACTTGCTCCGCTGAGTACGTCACCTTCTTCGTTGCTCTGGTTGGCTTTAGCGCTATCCAATTGCGTGCAGAGAGAATTTGAAAGACAACCGTTTATCCCGCCCCTCGGATTGAGCCCTGTCAATGAAGAGTTTCCAGACCTAACATCTTGATGTAGGTCTGGCATACCAGGCTAGCAGACACTGGCTCCGGCTCAGGAAAAGCCTACTCTGGCTCCAGTTCAGGAACAGACACCGGCTCAGGAACAGACACCGGCTCCGGCTCAGAAACAGCAGACACTGGCTCCGGCTCAGAAACAGGAATAGACACCGGCTCAGGAAAAGACACTGGCTCTGGCTCAGGAACTGCAGACGCTGGCTCCGGCTCAGGAACAGCAGACACTGGCTCAAGTACAGACACGGCTCCAGCTCAGGAACAGCAGACACTGGCTCCGGCACTGGAACAGCAGACACTGGCTCCGGCTCTGGAACAGCAGACACTGGCTTCGGCTCTGGAACAACAGACACGAATGGTCTGAAGGGTAGCCACAGGATCTGAGCTAGATGTTCTATAAGTCGGTCAGAGCCCTCGCGGCCATGGGAATGGGCATCTCCTGATCCGTCTCTCACAGGGCATGGGCAGACGTGGCATGAGCCTTTTCTGTCTGAGCAGATGTGACGTGAACCGTCTCTAGCTGGGCAGACACGACATGAACAGTCTCTGACAGGGCATGGGCAAACGTGGCGTGAGCCTTCTCTAGCTGGGCAGACACGACATGAACAGTCTCTGACTGGGCAGACATGACGTGTACCGACTCTGACTGTGCAGATGCAACATGAACAGTCTCAGGCTGGGCAGACATGACATGAACAGTCTCTGGCTTGGCAGACGGGACGTGAACAGTCTCTGGCTCGGCAGACGTGACGTGCGACGTCTCTGGATCGGCAGATGTGACGTGAGCAGTCTCTGGATGGTCTCCGGAAAAACGGCGGGCTGCTGGGGCATGGCCTTCAGGCTCTTGGGGAGGTTGGACGCTCTGGGCTGGACAGAAACAGCGGCGGATGGAACTCTGGGCTGGATATCACCAGCCCAGGGTCGAAGAGGGGCCTGAGTAGAGAATGGTGTCGGGATTCCTCTCGATCACCTCCTCCACTGTGGCCTCCATGTGTCCAGCGAAATCTGACCAAATCGGTACCCGCAAAAAGTTGTCTTCTTCCCCGCTCGGTGGCTGGGGAAGAGAGATTAGAAAACATACCACTGGATCTTGTAGTTACGGAGTCCTTCTGTCACGATACACACACACAGGAAACAAAAGATCCAATAGCAGAGTTTATTTAAAGGGTAAACCGTACTCACAACCAGTCCAAGCATGGTCAAAATCCAAAAAGTCAGTCCAAAATCATAAAGGACAAACACTACAAACAGGCTTGAAACAACAACGGAAGTGTGGGGACTACATACTGTACGACTCCGTGACAAACACTGAAACAGACGAGACCGGGTGACGAGAAACACCTGTAAGGCAACGAACAATCAGTGACAGACAGGATCATGGTAATTGCAGTTGCGAATGCATAGACACCATGAAAACTGAGGACCTCTAGTGTTAATGGTTGCTCTGTCATTGAAGGCACGGAGATGAGGATGAAAGGTTTCCAAGATAAATTTAATGATCAACAAGGTTATACAATAGACTAGTGCAGACACAACCAAACATACGAGAACCAAACATACAAAGAACAACAGACAAGCAGGAACACAGATAATGATGTAGTGAGTGCAGCTGTGAGCCGGAGAGGATGATCGGACATGTAGTGTAGTGATACACGGAACTGTGACAGATTGCCCCCTCCCAGAAGGCACATCCTAGTGCCATAGAGGATGAGATGATGAAATAGGCAGAGGATACTGGAGGTGGCTCTGTAGGTGGACGGCTGATTGGGAGGAGGCAGGACAGAAAAACATAGGGTGCTGATGATAGTGATCGGAATCGGCAGATGGTGACCCAGACAACAGCCAGGATAGTGGACCATGGCGGTGGCGCTGAAGGAAGTAGCCATGGTGGTGAGGACCTCAACGCCACTGTAAGACTGGAAAACTGGTTAAAGAGAAAATATCTGACCAGTGGCCTCTAAAGACAAAAGGCATTGCTTGCAAATTAACATTTGACACCCTACCCCCTATTCTCTGAACATCTTATCTGCATCTTCTCTCTTTCACTCTCAGTCAATGACACTGAAAGCTCACAAGAATATGGTTTTAATGTGAATCTGATAATCTTTAAGGATTGTTTAGAATCATTTTGATGGTCTCAGGGTGACTGGTAATAATGTCTCATTCCCAAAGTAATAAAAGAAAAGGTAATAAGGTTTTTAAGAAGTTTAGGAATCACAGTCACACAAAGGAGTGTGGTCTTTGAGTTAACACCTTCTGCCTTGTTGTCTGAATGCAAATTACAACCAAGCAAATGGTCTGCCCCGATAAACATGGTAGGGGGATTCAGTAACTTTCCATTATATCCTGGTGATTTACATATCAGGTGAGGTCTGATTATAAAAGGAGATGTAACAAGAGTTCGGGGCTGCTTTCTGTATTCAGATCAGCCCGTGATGTTGTGTCTTCAAGACTCAGCTCATGTAATATGTTGGGTAAAGTTCTTTGTTCTAAAACATTTGATGGTTTGCTCTGATTATCTTGTGGAATTCTATACATTTACCTGACATAATAAATTGTTATATTTGGCTATTCTAATAGACTTTGACTTTATTTTCATTAAGTTAAAAGTAATAGTCAAGCATTAACATATTTAATGATGCACAGATATCATTGATAAACCCTTTTCATTTTATGGAGTCAGATGAAACGAGTTAATACATAAGATTAAATGTGTTGCATTTAATTAAAAAACACTTTGCTTGGAAAAGACGGAACGCGCTTGAAACCTTCACCACGAATCGAATTCCTCAATTTGGGTCGATTTCGTGGCCCTTTTTACAGTGGTGACACGCCTCCGTGATCGCAACAGATGGATTTCGCGAACAACGTCCTTTCCAGCAAAGTACGGGAATCTTAAAATCAACAAGAGGTTTGAACATCTTCCTTTCTTCTGCCGCTGTGGTAAGTCACATTTTCATTCCCTTTTGAAAAGTGTTGAGAAAATGTTGTTTGCCGTGGTTTGCGGGTCGGAAAGTCCTTTGTTTAGTCCGAAACTAAAATGTGAGGACATGATAATGGCCGCGACGCGCAGATAAAAGTGTAAAACCCTTGTTTAATAGATTTTAAAGATATCCTTGTTCGATTAGGCAAAAAGAAAAGAAACCTAAATTTGAAATAACATCTTTCAAATGATTTTCGGGTAGACTTAACGTTACTCGAGGAGCTATAAAACAAAACTTGTACGTTTGTCTTCATTATTATAGTGGCTTTGTTGAAACAAACCAGCAACGTGAATCGACAAACAACAGAAATTAAAATCTAAGTTTGTAAATGATCAGAAAACACGTGATTTTATAAATGAGGCAGACGATGCATTGTTTATGATAAAACAAACTTTGAAAAAACACAATGATATGATTTACAGGCTAAGACGCAATTTAACAGGGTTAAATGCTAGTATTTTACATGCTGTTTAGAAAAAACGAGGCTAAGATAAATGCTAGTATTGCCCATGCTGCTTCCAAAACGAGAATATAAATTCTAAAGCCATGCTTCTTGAACAATGATGCTAATGCTAATGCTAAAGCCATGCGGCTTCTAAAGGGCTAATGCTAATGCTAAAGACATGCTGCATTCAAACGCTTAACCCTTTGTGTGACCAGCCCACCGGGCCCTAGGCCACATTGAATGATATTCTAGAATAAAAATAAACTAATCTTGACAAACTTTATTTTGCATTTGAAAGCTTCCACTGTAACACAGATGGGATTAAAAAGCAATAATGCAATAGTTTGTATTTTCAAATTTGGAGTTGTGCTTCACACAATGTAACGCACTCATAGAACACACTGTATAGTTGTTTGTGCTACTATATGTGCACATAGGCTAAATGTAAGTTTATTCTTTAAACACAGGATTGCTTTACTGTAAGTGTTTTGGAACACTTAGGTAAAGGCTGTTGATGTTGTATTCAAGGCCATGTATCCTGTGTGAACTGAATTAAACGTGTGTGTGTCTATGCTGAATGTGGTTATAATGTGATTCACAATGCTCATTAATTCTTGAAAAGAATGAGAAGAATTTGAGACAAAAATACTTTTCATATTCGGAAAACAAAATAATTCCACATTTTCACATCAGATTTGGCGAAAACAGGATGATATTATTTCCAGGCAAGATCAATGATAATACTGAATGCAATAGATTGCATTTGAAAGCCTAAAAACCTTAACACAGATGGAACTAAATTATTTAAATTTCTCTGAAAAACAAATCTCTAAAGTATTTGATATGCTACCTGGTTGCAGAAAATTAGGAGACTTCGCTTGGTTACAGGAGCTGTTCAATGTGGCGAGTCTGTAAAAACGATGGCAGGATAAACTCTAAAACATTGTAACATGCTGGTGTAATACAAGTATATAAAAGGCGCCATGGTAACATATTCAAAGCTTTAGAGGACAGACTTTACCTCTCCACTTAATGGGAGCTGTTTTTCGCATACAAAATTTGTAAATGGTTACGTTTGAACTAATTCTGAATGACTCTGAAAGGCTGGTTTTTCCCTAGATTATTGGATTCGTATATTTCCCCATCTTTCGCGTCAGATTAGCGACGGCTAATATCCGATACCATTTTAAGTGTACTTGAATGGGGGACAAGTTATTTCCGACTAGAATCAGCAAACGCTGATTAATCAACCTAGTTTTGGGTGTGTCCATATCCACTGTTTTAGGTCAGTGATCACTTTGGATAAACGTGCGTGGTTTAAAGACCACGGGCTTGGCCTGAAGCCATTTTAAGAGAAGTTGAGTTGATAAACTATACTCTTTCTTGGTGGTCAATCGTCCCTACTAAAGTGACACACTGATTTAATTTCTAGAGGAGGCATTCAAGGGGTCTTTGAATTGGCGGGGCAAGTTATTTCCGACTAGAATCAGCAAACACTGATTAATCAACCTAGTTTTGGGTGTGTCCATATTCTCTGTTCTAAATTAATGATTACTTTGGATAAACGTGCGTGGTTCTCAGACTGCGGGGTTTGACCTGAAGCCATTTTAAGAGACGTTGAGTTGATAAACTGTTTTCTTTCATGGTGGTCATTTTCGTCCCTACCATGGTAATACATTGATTTAAGTTCTAGAGGAGGCATTCAAAGGGACTTATAAAGATATCTCTGATTGTACGTGTGAATACGGCAGATCTTAGATATTAAGTCAAATTACCTCTGAATTGGTTATTGGAACTGACGGGGGTGTGTCGCGCGGGCTTCGAGGAAGTACTGCGGAGCGATATAGATTCCCTTATCTAAACGGATAAAACTAAAATTTAGAGTTCAAAAGAATAATCAAACGTTAAAATGGCCATTTCAAAAGACTAAATGAGAAGAAAATATATTTGAAAACTAGCAAACAGAAAATTGAAACCTCTCAGGCATTAATTTAAGAACTATGAATTTAATCCTTACAATTCGATTTCGTTGACCAATACCCAGTGCCAAAAGGGCGGAAAACACTCACTGAAGTGTGGTGTGGCACAGGTACTTGCCAACTGACCAAAGAAGAAAATTTACAAGGAGGGTGTGAACTAAACATCAGAGATAATGAGAGATCACCACTAACCAAATGTGTGAATGACACCATGAAATAATTCATGCCCACAGATCTGGCTGTAATGAAAGCAACTTGAAGTTTAAAACCCGAAGACTGGGATCTCTAATGCTGGGGACACAGCAGACTGTGAAGGCTGACTGCAAGAGCAGTGTTGTTTTAGGTGTCACACACTGAAGCAACAACAGCAATAATTCAGGCCTGGTCAATGAAATTCGGTTTCATGTGACAGCTGGAATTAAAATTACAATGGACATGATAATGGAGCAAGCAAACGAATATGTCCACATGTCTGAATTTGAAACTGTTGAAAACATCAAAATTAACTGTGGTTCTCTCTGCACGTGTTTCTGTCAGGTTAACTTCTACAATTCCTCGGAGGACGGAGGCCGGGACGGCCGGCCTTCACGATTGTTAGAACGTAACCTGAGATTCGGGAGATGGGTGAAAAGACGATTCAAGAGGCCTTTACATCCCACAACAACACATCACTACATTAGATGGCCTCCCAGTTTAGAACTGGAACTAAAATTTGCAACACAATTGTTATACAATAGATTCCACCCATCTCCTAGACATGAACACTGACTGAACACACTCCTCCATCACAACACCCTCACGGCATCATCACCTGGAATAGATCAAATCTATCCAGACTGAACATTACACATCATAAGATGAAGATGACATAGAGTCTGATAGTGTCACTTCACTAAAGATCTATTGTGCATCTTCACACTCACAGATCCGGATAGCTTCACACACATAACGATGGGAAGCTGATCCCATGACATAGCACACGCTATTCATCACCACACCCTGCAAACTCATGGAAAAACACTGGAAACACATATTAATGGCTACAGTCACAAATCAATGCAATGCATCAAAAAAAAAAAAAAATCATAATGTTTAAACTTTCTTATTGTTGTTGGGGTGGTTGGAAAATCAGAGGGCCCCTGATTTCTCAACATACCACTAATAACAGTAACATCATAGCTAAATAGATCTGAAGTATGAGCGCTTCAATCAATTACAGAATTGTCAATTCAACCTTGTCATTGACTGTGACTTAGCCAACAACAACAACACACACACGCACAGTCTTTCTCCCTCTTTCTCTCACACACTCAAACTCACACTCACACACACAGATGCACTCATACCCTCACAAAAACACACCCTCTCACACCTGTTGAAAGGAATGAACAATCTCCATCCTTGAATACATTTAAGCATATATGTTCCAAGTCACTTCCTAGATTTGCATAAGTGGCTTGCATTGGAAGATTCCTTAACAAACACTGATTATTATATACATATTCATTTATTGAACATCGATTGCTTTTATTAGATGAAATGAATTTTATTGTTTTTTATTACATGATTGAACATTGATTGTTTTTATTACATGACTTTTTATCATAGAATCTATTTGATTATTTTGAATACACTGACCTTTTGCTGCATTTCCTTTTTATAATTCAGACCAAAAAATATATATATTTAAGAATTGGATATTTAATATGAGACATCCTTACCATTCAATACCCTGAGAAAAATATGAGCAGACTTGCTGAAAAGAACATGATATTTTACATTGAACATGACATGATTTTGTCTTGTTGCATTATGCGTTTCTATGCATTTCTTCTTGAGTTCAAGTTCATATGTGTTTCAATCGTGAAGCGGACATTTAAGATGCTTTTCAGACGTCTCACAGAGAGCCCATTCACCCACTGAGGTCTGTCCAGACAACCGCACCGCTGGAGGTGACAGGATTGGTCAAGAAGGGACAGATTATCGTTATGGGGAAGGTGCCAGGAAAACGTGAGTGTCTTCAGGAAGGAACGACACGCCAACTGAAAAAGTCAAGAGGTCCAGATTGACTCTATGAACTTTGCTCACATCTCCAGAAGAAAGCCTGAACGCCTCATCCACCTGCTGGACTCATGCTGCATACGCCTGATGAGAACAGGTGATCTGCAGGTGAACAAAGCCCTCTGAGCTTCTACAGATGCCAACATTGCCAAGAGACAATTGCTGAATTACACCAAGGATTACACCAAACGTCTTACTCTGTGACCCCTTGAGTGTCTGAATCTGACCCATGGGGTCAAGGAGGGAATCTGTAAGACTGGAAAACTGGTTAAAGAGAAAATATCTGACCAGTGGCCTCTAAAGACAAAAGGCATTGCTTGCAAATTAACATTTGACACCCTACCCCCTATTCTCTGAACATCTTATCTGCATCTTCTCTCTTTCACTCTCAGTCAATGACACTGAAAGCTCACAAGAATATGGTTTTAATGTGAATCTGATAATCTTTAAGGATTGTTTAGAATCATTTTGATGGTCTCAGGGTGACTGGTAATAATGTCTCATTCCCAAAGTAATAAAAGAAAAGGTAATAAGGTTTTTAAGAAGTTTAGGAATCACAGTCACACAAAGGAGTGTGGTCTTTGAGTTAACACCTTCTGCCTTGTTGTCTGAATGCAAATTACAACCAAGCAAATGGTCTGCCCCCGATAAACATGGTAGGGGGATTCAGTAACTTTCCATTATATCCTGGTGATTTACATATCAGGTGAGGTCTGATTATAAAAGGAGATGTAACAAGAGTTCGGGGCTGCCTTTCTGTATTCAGATCAGCCCATGATGTTGTGTCTCTTCGAGGCTCAGCTCATGTCGCCTAATATGTTGGGTAAAGTTCTTTGTTCTAAAACATTTGATGGTTTGCTCTGATTATCTTGTGGAATTCTATACATTTACCTGACATAATAAATTGTTATATTTGGCTATTCTAACAGACTTTGACTTTATTTTCATTAAGTTAAAAGTAATAGTCTAGCATTAACATATTTAATGATGCACAGATATCATTGATAAACCCTTTTCATTTTATGGAGTCAGATGAAACGAGTTAATACATAAGATTAAATGTATTGCATTTAATTAAAAAACACTTTGCTTGGAAAAGACGGAACGCGCTTGAAACCTTCACCACGAATCGAATTCCTCAATTTGGGTCGATTTCGTGGCCCTTTTTACAGTTGATTGAACTGGAAAAAGTGAGTTATTACAATGAAGGAGATTAATTTAATCATCAGAAACTCAAAATAATAAGTTCAACTAAATAAATTATTTAAGTTGATTTGAAAAAAGAAAAAAATGTTGTGATAACAAATCTTGAAAATATTTTTTTTACAGTGTGGTTTTCCACAAAAACATTCAGCAGCAAAACAGTTTTCACACAGTTGCACCAAATCAGCATATCAGTATGATTTCTGGAGGATCATGGGACACTGAAGACTGGAATAATGAAGCTGAAAATTCAGCTTTACAATCACAGAAATATATCACATTTTAAAATATATTCGAATAGAAAACTATTGTGATAATATTATTTCCCAATATTACTGTCACTTTTTCACTTTGTAGAGTACATATTGCAAATCAGTGCATGTGATTGTGTTTGGAAAAGGTTGTTTGTTTTACCTTGCCCCCGATAATCACAGTCCGCGGCACAAACGGTTTCGTGGGGCTCTTCTTGATTCCTGTGTGTAAAACAGTTGAAAAATTCTTCAATCTTAATCAAAGACAGTAAATAATGGCAGAATTTCATTGTTTACTTCTACGTGAGAGAATATTTGTCGAAAAACATCCCCAAAAAATACACTTTAGCTGTTAGAAAGTGTGCAAGTGTGTGTACATACGGTTGTACATAGTGATGACATGGAGGCAATTGAGAAGTTGTCGTTTGTATTCATGTATCCTTTTCACATGGACGTCAAACATGGATGCAGGATTTACATCCACGTTGTACTCTTTCTCTAAATACTGTGCAAACTTCACCTTGTTATCCTACACACAGAAACATAAAAATTAACTGCAAATGACTTTGAATTGAAATCACCACATTTTAAGAATAATACCATTCATCAGAGTCAGTAATCCCCACAGAAACAGCTTGTCACTAGGGCAGAAAGACTACATATCACTCTAATATGCACTTTTTAGGGGTAGCTAAGTGGCCCTAAAGGGGACTGCCCCAGTGATAAGCAGTTAAACAGTCCAATTTGGCCATTAAAATCTACATAGATAAGATTTACAAATGCATTGATATGAGAGGAGTGTGCGTTTTGACCTGTTTGACTTTGGCTACATCTCGGATGAAGGCGTCATCGTCAACCAGATCATTCAGCTTCTGCAGCGCAGTCAGATCTTTTACATACTCTTCACCGATAGCCTTCAAACGGTCACATAAAAAAAAAAACATGAAATGAATTGAAAAAGTATGTTATAAAAAGAGAAAAACAAATGTGTACGTGTGTCGGACCTCTGCGATGAGATCCGCGAGTCCTGGATTGCAGAGGAGCAGCCAGCGTCGTGGCGTGATGCCGTTTGTTTTATTCTGAAATTTGTCTGGTTCCAGCTCGCTGAAGTCTCGAAATCTACATCATTACATTCAAAATAATCAGCGATGGGATGTAGGATTGTGTGTGAGTGAGTGAGTGAGAAAGAAAGAGAAAGCCCTACACGTCTCTTTTGATGATGTCTGAGTGGATCTCAGCAACTCCATTGACCTTGTGTGAGCCCACGATGCAGAGATGAGCCATGTTCACTTTCTTTCCCTCTACCTCCTCAATCAAAGACATCCTACGGATTCGATCCATATCATCTGGAAATAGAGATGCTATATGCTACACGCACACACAAACATGCATACAGTACAAAAAACATTAATGCTGGGTTTACTTGTGTATGTGGGTTTTCAAAAATGGGCAGTCCTCTATTATTTGGAGTGTACTCACATCCAGATGTGTTTGGTTGATCTTGTATATGATTTGCAAGTGTCGGGGTAAAAGTTTCTCCATCAGTTCGACTGGCCAGCGCTCCAGAGCCTCAGGCAGAACCGTGTGGTTGGTGTATGCAAACGTTTTCTTAGTGATATTCCACGCCTAGACGCTCACACAGAAGATCTCACTTTAAGTAATCATGTTGCCTTGACAAATCCGACATACTGTCAAATGTACAAAAAAACAACAACCAAATGGCCAAATGGACAGCTTGTGCCAGTGCAAACCCTCTTTTGAAAAAAATAGTGAAATATTTGCGCTGAAAAGGCATGGATAGGGTTATTTTTGCGGCTGAACTTAAAGCATATGCAATTGTAGGAGTTTCCCTTTCAGGAGGAGAGTTTTTAAATGAGTCACGCAAGGTGATTTACTAAGGTTTGGACTCGTCAATGTGCTGGTGCTTGCGCCATTATTTACCACCCAAAAAGAAAAGCACGTCTTAAACCAGACGCTAACTGTTAGATTTGTGTTGGTCATTATGGACATGATCTGACTTTGTCTGTGTTCTTTAATTTGCACGTCGTCAGTAGATCACACACAGAACTTTCCTTTCCCATCAGTGCTGTTTTGGAATTGGGCTCTCATGCCGTTTATTCAATCTGACCTATAATGTCTAAATTTAGCACTTTTTCGAGCTTTTTAGCGACTTCATTAAACTGAGCACAGTATCAAAGCATTAGTTTAATTTTAGCATTATTTATATACTTGTAATATTTTTAAATATTTTTATATTTTCAGGGTTCACTTTTACTTTGTTTTGTTTGCGTCATTTTATTCATTCATTCGAGGGCTTGGAGCCAGAAGGGCGTAAGTGGCTTTTAACAAACTTTACAGGAGAGACAAAACAAAATTGACCACACTTCAATCACCTGTATTATTAACCTTAAACCACAGACATTGCAACCACAGGCATACTTGAAATGAAATATTTATATATATATATAATACATGAAATGACTATTTAAGTAAATGTATGGCATATTAACACAATGAACATGTTCTAAAACATTTTCAAAAAAACAAAAAGTAAAATACGTCAGATACGCCTTTTTGTTGCTTTATTCAATACAGTTTGACCTCAGATAGGTATTTTGGCACCGTTGGATAGAGCTCATCGAGACCTTTATTTTGATATAAAGAACTCATATTCGCCCAAAATGCCACTTACGCCCCTCTGGCTCCAAGCCCTCGCATTATTCTTAAACTTACATTTAATCTAGTCAGTTATTCATTACCTACATATCTACATTTTATTTGAGCTTTATTTCAATTATGAAAAGAATTATGAATTTTTTTAGTTTTAATGCTCTGACTCATTGTGCTACAGTTTCCATCACAGTGTCGGGTGTATGTTCCCTGGTGTCCACTAGAGGTCCTCTTTCCACATTGTGTCATTCACTTTTGGAACTAAGGCCACGTTTACACAAAGCCGGGTATTTATTTAGCGAATAGTATATTAGCGATAGTAGTATATTAGCGAATATTTTCCCCCTCTCTGTTTTCAAAAATAACACCGTTCACACACCCGCATAAATACGCCATCGAGCGCCATCATAACAATGCCAAACCTATGGGCGGCAGTGTAGGGAGAAGGATAAAGCCATGCAAGCCAATCAGAATCGAGAAGAGAGAACCTAAAACGCCGTTTCTCCCAGTTCACACGATAACACATAACCGGCGTTTTCAGAAATCTCCACTTTGGCCGGAGTTCTTAGAAATAATCGTTTTCTGTGATAAAAACAGGGTTTTCGTGTAAACGAGACGCCAATCCGAAAGGAAATATCTGCGTTTTCCCCTTCAAGTAAACGGGGCCTAAATTCCCCACAATCCTTGTCTGTGCTCATCACTGTTCATTGCGCTCAGCTGTTCCCCCATCATGATGCTCATGTTCTGCGTGTATAAATACCCTGCCTGTTTAGTGTTTGTTACAGAGTCCTTGTTTTATGTCATCACACTTCTGATGTCTGTATCTGCCTGGTTCTTGTTTTTGTTTTGTTCTTGTGTTTGGATTGATTATTGAATTTGGACCCCTGCCTGGATGACCACGAGTTTGGATTGCCCTTTTATTAAAAACTACTGCTCTTGGATTTTCTGTGTTTCGTTACAGTTTTTTTTACTTATTTGACTTCAGACTTCAACATTTGACCAATTAAAAAAAAAACACATGATAAACACATCTGTATGGGCTGTCACAGTGTATCATAGATTTATGAATCTTACTGAATCCCAGTCCAGTTTCTCAATGTCCACAAATATCCTCATCAGCTCAGGTATGGCCATAGCAG